AACGAAGGAATGAAAATAATCTGGGAAAAATGGCCAGATGACTCTGAAGTGGCTGAGGAATGGATGGGTCATGGGGGGAATCTTTCCTAAAATCCCTGGTCTCCGCCACAAATAACTCGTCCCCCACCTCGGCTTATGAATCTATAGGCAACTGTGGATTGCCCTCCTTATTTCCCAGCCTTTCAGTCTCCTTCCTGCCCCACTTCACACCCTATGCACCATCAAGAATGTGGGGGGAAAAGTAGAGCCTGGGTGGGGAGGGGGGCGCAGAAGGCAAAAGCTCCCTCTTCGTTCTTTTGTTCCTGTTTTCACTCTTATGCACTTAGGATTTTAGGAACAATTCCCCCCATGACCCACCCATTCCTTGGCTATTTCAGTGTCATCTGGCCCATTTTCCCCAGATTACTTCCATTTCCTTCGCTTGTAGTTTTCGGAGCGATTTGCTCCATTCCACGCACCCGAGAGGCGACCAAACACTTTTCACCTGGATGGAGAAATGACAGAGATTCAAAGCTTCATGTGCTTGCAAAGGGGACAGTTTGAAACGGAGTGATTATGTGAGCGATCACCCCCAAAAAATCACAGTAGGGATTATTTTTGGGGTGAGTCTTATTTTGGGAGAAACACAGTACATTGTAAACCATCTAGGGCAGGAGTGTCAAACTGGCAGCCCATGGGCGGGATGCATTCACATGCAGGCCACACACACCCCAGCATTACAAAGGCAAAAAATATTACAATACATCATGTGACGCGATTGAGTTTGACATCCGTGATCTAAGGAGTGCTGTAAAGTGCTGTGGAGCGGTATATAAGCCTAATGCTATTGGTAATTGAGCCAGGATTGAATCCTGTGAAGATATTAATGTAATTTCCATTTTTGTATTGAATCAATGAATGGAATAACTATGTATGCAGTGAATCAAAAGCCACCTTCCTTCTTCTTGCATCAAACACACTCAAAATTGTGAAATTTATTTCAGTAAGCAGTAAGTTCAAGTAACTTAATTTTGATCGGATTCTAAACAAGATGAAATATTTGTACATGAACTGAAGTCAGTTGTGCTCCTTTCATGAATTTCTACAACTATAATCATCAATACTGTAGAAAAATACCCTTTTTTAGCAATTTATGCATTAAATTTGTCGTAACTTTTACTGGATTCACTGTCATCTAGGTCAGAGGTCTTCAAACTTGGCAACTTTAAGATTTGTGGACTTCAGCACCCAGAATTCTCCAGCCAGCTATGGGAGTTGAAGTCCACAAGTCTTAAAGTTGCCAAGTTTGGGGACCCTTGATCTAGATGGATTAATTAACGTATTCCTTCATGGATAACAGTAGTTAGATCCCTAAATGTCTTTTTACAACACCTTCCCCAAACAATTCAATTTGAAAATAATTGTATTTTTTTTCAAATTATCAAAGTACTATGGGAAATAGTTAAAATTGTTTCTCATTTCTTATGGCATGTGCCATAAAGCAGCCTTGTCTTGGTAGCCTCAAGAATTTCTCCTTATATTTATAATTTTACCTGAGCAGGATGAAAAGCATATATTTTAGTTTACTTCTATTTTAGAAACAAGTAAAATCTCAAGCTCAATCCCTCCAAGACTGAGTGGCTGTGGTTTCCATCATCCCGATTTGTGCATCTTGTTCCATCTTTGATGATAGGGGGAGAAATTTTAGCCCCCTCAGAGATCTGGGTGTCCTTGCAATCTGGGTGTCCTCCTGGATATGTGGCTTAGTTTAGAAGAACACCTGACGGCCGTGACCAAGGGAGCCTTTTACCAGGTTCACCTGGTACGTCAGTTACACCCCTTCCTGGTTCGGGATG